TAATACTTGTTGGTAATTCGTCCAGATAATCATCTGGCTAGTCAATTTCCTCCAATTCAGTCAGGTCAGTAATAACTTCAGGAACTTTTGACAACCCTCTGCTACTAAAATCTTGAATTTTTTTTTTAATACATTTGTAGAAATGCACTTTCTGAGCTCCTCTGCTGAAATGTTCTCTGTCCTCTACTATATTGCAACTGTTTGAATGCGACATGGAAATCTAAAATCTTAAGCACTTCCCGAAGTTAATAGTGATTTTACACATCAGAGGAATCTGGTAGAAATCACATAACAAGGCTGACCAATTTTTTGCCATTGACCAAAACTATATAGAATTGGAAGGAATTCCCAGATATTAATATTCTGAATTCATATAGCCTACAACAAGCTTTAATTAAACACAGTAATTAGATCAAGAAGACATTTTTAATACAAACGCCTGAGGTTATTGTCAGTTTCCATGGAACTATTGATCTGAGTTCATTTAAACCCGTTCAAAATCTTGATGGCTTTAACTCAAACAAACAACCTTAACTTAAATTATCTAAATTTCACTTGACTGTGCTTTATACTGTAATTATCACTCACTGTTTGACAGTTTCACTCTTTATGCTATAAATAAGCTGAGAAACTTAATTCCGGTGGAAGAAATTCTGCATGGTTTGTGTCGCTATCGAGTTATAGAATTGCAACTTGTAGCAGGCACTCTCTTACCTGACTCGTCCCCAGTCATCTTCAGACAACTTCATACAGCGCGTGGTACAGGGCAAGGTGGGAGCGCAAGGTGAGATGGGTACACACGTGCCACGTTGTATGAAGAAGACTGAAGATGAGTCAGCTTTCTTACAGGGTCCTTTCCCTGGTGCAGCATTTACATCGAAATCTTTTGAGTTTTTGTCATCTTACCTGGCGATTCTGGATTTACTCTTCTAATGGAGACCAATTAATTGAAGACTTACACAGCAAAATTGTATTTTCATTTCAGCAAATAAATGTTGGAAGTCCAGCGGCCTGGGTAATTACACCTTCAATTCAAGAGCTCCAGCTAGCCTCCAGTCTCTCTCATAAGTCTCTGCATTGGTTTTCATTCTCAGGAAAGAGAGACCCGCTGAGCAGGTTCACCTTTGAGTCCCACGTGTGAGCGGCAAAGTGTGAGTTAGGAGTCTTGTGCAGAAAGGAAGTCAGCCTGCCTTGATCTCTGATCTCTGTTGTTCCCAGGGTCTCTCTGTCCTCCTCCCAAGAGTGAGAGGGGGGGACCGTGGGAACGAGGTTAAACTTTGCTGCTTGTACGTGTGTTCCTCAAACGTGAGCCTATTCGCAGGCGAGGAAAGAGAATTCCTTGTTTCATTCAAATTTCTTTTTGAGGGATCGTTTCATCTACCCTCACGACTTTGCTAATGAGTTTTGCTTTCAATTATATATATTAAGAAGGAATACTCAATATTAGATTTAGAAGAGCAAATAATAAACGGATAGTTAATGTTAGATTTGGATTAGAAGATTGTACACAAAGACATTTATTTTAACCAAACTTGCTGAATGTCCGGTTCCATCTACAGGTATTTATTATTTGTTATTATGCAAACTAGGTATAATTAATTTTACCAATACGGTACCATATATTCACTGAGATGCCACATTGCTGAGATACCTTTCGTAGATAGTTAATAGGCGTATCCTTGGAGCAAAACAGATCTTTGTAAAAGGCAATAGATGGTTATTTCTCAACCAGTTTTTTTTTTGAGTGTAGAAAAAAGTCTCTGTGACTAAGAGGACTATACTTTTCATTGTTATATTGTAATTAATGAATTTTTGAAGATACACCTCTTATCTATTCGTTTAAACTGATGGTTATTTTTTCACGTATATGTTTTCCAAGTGTTAATGAGATTACCAATAATCAGAGTTAACTAGGAGATTTACTGTTGGCCAGTGGATGATCGCTGTGGGCATGCGTAGTTGTGCCATTGCTGTGCAGTTTTGCCCTCGATATAGCTTATCGACAAGTTAAATAGGGAACTAAGATCCAACTTAGTTACTTTATTTGTCGCAAAGGAGCCCCCGGGGGGGGGGGGACTCCCATATGAAAAGGTCGGGGATTCTCGACTTCTTGCCCAGGGTTGTAAATAAAGGATGTTGGTCTCACTCAGGACGAAAATGCCACAATTTTTAGCTGTCAAAGTATCTTTAAGAGAGCATTCAAAGAGATACATTAAAAAACGCTCTCGTTTTCCGTTTTTGGGCTTAATTCCTGCCTCCCTCTTGAGTCAGGTCTACTAACCCAGGCTCCTATCCTGGGGCTGGTAATCAAGCCTATTCAGTTATAAGCGGTCTCTTTTAGGGTCATGCCAGGACAGATTGGTCTCGGCTTTAGGGGTTTAATTCAAATTTTCCGACCTTGACATATGGATGTCCCCCCCCCCCTTCCCGGGCAGTTTCTCAGTTTCCCTAGTAATAGGTTGGTGGTCAATTTTATGTCAAAAAACCAAAGCTGGCCTTCAGACAAGGCAGATTAGCGCTTCAGCCCCGCCAATCTGTTCGGAAGGCTAAGCCAAAGAACCACTTAAGGCGATCACAAAGGACAGACAAACCAGTGAACCAATCAAAACTCAATGTAATTACGTGTAGCAGACGCAATTTTTAATTCAACCATGTAGCGTAGAAGTGCAAAGCCAAGTACTTTTCGACACTCGAATGAAAACCACTATGAATGTAAAATAACTACAGGTTATTAGAGTTCACCAAATTAACACTAAGAAATTGTCTGGATATTTAAAGGAATTCTAACTAGCACTATAGGCAATTTAAGACTAGTAAAGAGAATCTGTAATTTGATGATAATGTAAGTTGACCTCTGTGGGAGTTGGTCGATTGTACCGTAACAGCTCTCAGGGGCTGGTCTAATGCTCGACTCTTCCGGGATGCTCGTCATACCTTTTAGGGGTTAAAAAAGCGGTGTTGGTACCTCTTAATGTGTTCAGTCTCAAACGGTCGGCAGCGAGAGCCTTTTTAGGGTATTGAGCAGTATTGAGCCGAGAAAGAAATATGACAGGAGATAATGTGTTTTGTTAGAATTGGTACTTCTTAGGGAAGAACAACAAGTCAAGCCACGCCCACAAGACGGGATCTTGGTACCTCTTAGGGAGGGTTTCTTTTCAAAATTTACGATGAGCACCCCGTCGGTCCTTTTCATATCGGAGCCCCCATCCCCGGTGACTCAACCGCCGCACAAACTAACAACCTTAGCGTCCAGTTAGCTTTTCTCATCATATTGGATCGCCTTTTTCTGCCTTGTTTTCTGGGTCCCTCTTGTGTTCTTGCTTCAGAGAGAGACCTTGGGGTGAGGCCTCGACATTTCGCCTCTGTCAACCATATCAGATCGTAAAAAAGTGATTTGTGACTCTAAGTGGGTCGCCTTCGTCCGGCAACTTGGTCTCGCCAGGTAGCATAATAGTGGCGTTATTCTGAAAACATTTTTCCTCATGAAATTTAACCTTGGCCAAAGCAACTGTAGGATTGTCTTCACTTTTGTCAGCAACGAAGAAAACGACTATTTCGACTGCTGCTCGTACCCGAAAGGGTGAGGTATATGAGTGGGTTTGGAAATCTGTCATTTAGTTATTTAAAGGGCCTTTACTTAAAATATTTGGAACAGTCGCACTTTATGGCTGTATCATTTAACATATTTAAATAGGCACGACATGAAAATGAGAAGATTTCCTTTTTCTGGCGAGTTATTCATAATACGGGCCTGTGAAAGGGGTACCTGTACCTTTTTCAGTTAGAGGTTTAGGGGGGGTACCGTATACGGAAGGGGTACCCTTTTTTGTCACTGCCCTGTGAATGGTATACAAAAAGGATAAGCAGTTGGACTAAGGGAGGGAGCCTTTAAACCTCTTTTTTTTTTTTTTGTATTAAACATTTGCGTAATTAAAGAGCCATTGAGTAAATATTATGCATACGGCTTTGAGTAGGGACGAAACGGATCTCAAGGGTCCGTTTCTCGAAAGGCCCGGACCCGCAAAGCCATTTTTAGTTTATTTGTATCAAAAAACAGAGAGGTGTATACGCCTGAAACTTCTTGTATGAAGAGAACTTCTGTTCATATTAAGAATATGTGAATAAAACAGCTCAGTAATCATAAGGTTTGAGAGTTTGCTACGGCTTTCCGGGTGCGAAAACTTTTCGGAACCTTTGCGAAACAGGCCCCTTGAGGCGTAGTGACTTAGGGGGAGCAGGTGTACAGCCTGATGATGCATTGTCTCTCTTCCCTGATATTCCGTAGAGAGCTGGCATTGTTATATGTGAGTTCTTCTTGGAGCTGTTATGTCCTGGTTTGTTTGTGTTATTCCTTGGACACTTGGAATGAAAAGATGCTCTTCAAACCTGGTTCAAAATTGAGTGTGCCAGTCTCTTTACTCAGGGCAAGGCCGAGGGGAGAGGGGATGGGGACGGGGTGCTTTGATAGCTGTAGTGAGCAAGGTGCTTGATGGGAAATTTGTTGCGTTGCTTGTGAAACAAAACATGGTTCAGTTTATTTTTGTGCTGTTGCTCGTTGGTGTAATGGTGGTGTCTTATGCGGGAGGCGTTTATTTCGTGAAGATACTTCGAACAAATACTTTGTGATGCTCAAAGATGTACGCACGGACCTCCTTGAAAAACATGGTTAGCTAAAAGCATGCACACAAATAGTTCATTGTCACCTCGAGGATGTAAGCTTACTCGTCAAAGAAAATCTGAATTAACTTTAGTAGAGGCTTGCCAACTAGGAGACTGTATGAAAGTCCATAAACTTCTCGAACAAGGCGTATCGCCAAATAGCGTCGGAACTTTCGGCTGGACAGCCTTACAGGAAGCTGCGAGCGAGGAACGCACTGCTGTTGTCTGCCTTCTTTGCGGTTTTAACTGCGAACTTGACTTTTTAGGTACCGCTGGCGAAACTGCGCTTCACAAATGTGCAGCTAATAATGATGTGAAAACCATGGACGCTTTGCTATCTTCAGGGTGTGGAGTGGACGTAAGGAATTCTGGCGGACATTCCCCGCTGCATGTCACTGCCTATCACGACCATCTTGAAGCTGCACAGTTGTTGCTGTGTTATAATGCTGATGTGCGGGCGCGTGATCGCTGGAATCAAACACCATTACATAGAGCAGCTGGTAAGAGGAGCGTCTGTATTATGGATCTTTTAATTAATTGATGAAATTTAAGTTAAACAACTTTATTCATGCGTCAAACTACTTGCTGGGCGTCCCTACATAGAGCCTACTACATTTGGTACACCTTAGTCACAATTTACCCTTCTGGCTACACCCAGAACATTTAGTGTACCCTCACCCCCATCTGTGGGAGATCTAGCATGGTTCCGTCGAACTTCCTGAACTAAAAGAAAATTGAGACACTTACTGTAACACACTGACTTGGCCTCAGAATGCTGGGAACCCATTTTCCAAGAACTTGAGTTTTCAAAAAATTTCCAGGGTAGCTTCCCTACAGGGGAGCTCCTTTGGTGATCTATATCTTGAACCCACTACTCTAAAGTTCTGTATGCACCCCAACGTGTACAAAGTTTAACGCCTTGTGCTTTTGTGTTTAGATCGCAAATGCAACTGATGATGGTGTCAAAACTTGAACATAGTTTTAAGGCAGCCATGCTGCTAATATGACAAATTTAATGGCCTTTTGGTGATCATATTTTGGAGGACCACAGTGTATTTAGTTGGTTTGTTATAAAAAGCATCTACCTGAAATGCAACAGATTCAGGCTGGAAGTAAGGGCTGAAAATGACCTGGCCACAGCTAGAAGGGCTGAGAAGGAACTGGCTGTTAAAGAAGTGGTNGCAAGTGATTTATCTCCTGTGGTAAAAGAGCTTTGGAATGAAAATTCATGACAAAAGTTGAATTTTTTCCTTCTAGTCAGCTTAAGTGTCTAAATGTACCTGGGTTCCTTATAATTTCTCCTGGTAGCTTTCATCTGTTGCTTGGTGCATATGATTCAATAACTTTATTTGTACACAGTATTTCCATCAGTCTATTTTATACTGAGAGAGTTCCTTTTGGATATGGAAAACATTCTTAGTGTAATTTACCATACACTGAAAGCATGCAAAAAATCCATCTCCTTCTTCTTCCAGGAGTAATTTAAAAATCACTCCTGGTTACTCAAGGTGTTGAGAAATATCTCGTTTTGGTTCAAAATTTTAGCAACAATTATAACAATTATAGCAAATGTTCAACAATAGTTAACTTTTTAACATTTTCCTTCAGCCAGGGGCTGTACCAACATGGTAAAGCTTCTCCTTAATAACAGCAGCGATGTACTGCTCCAGGATGACCAGGGTTACACTCCACTGCACCTTGCTGCAGCATGGGGATGCCCACTGACGGTCCAAGTATTGTTAGATGCTGCATCAGATATTTATGCTAAGAACAGAAACAACAAGACTGCAACCGATGTCAGTCAGTCATCTGCAGGTTCATCATTGCTGCATGCCGCTGCATGTCAGACACCCAAATTACAGTACCTTTGCATTTTGGTGATCAGAAAACTCCTTTGTAACAATCCAATGCAAAAAATCAATAGGCTTCCTGTGTCCCAGCTTTTAAAAGATCGCATTGCAAATGTTTCTTTGGTAGAAAGGGTCCAAGCTATGAATACACGCTAACAAACCCTGTAAAGTATGATGGCACCCCACCTTGCGTTCACCCTGTTAATATGGCCAACTTAACTTTAAGGTGCACAAAATTAGTTTATCTAGACATGCCCCTCTCCTCCCCTTCCAATACATCACGTAAATTAATTTTAGTGTTGTAAATTTGTATTGTATGTTTCTTGCAACCTATATCTACTTAATCATGTATTAGGGATTGGAGGAACAAATAAAATTTTAAAAAAATACATGGTCACCTTGTTATAATGGCCATTTTTTTGGTCCTGGCAAAACATCCATACATTTTGTTATAAGAAAACCCCATTAATTGTGGCCACCCAGTTAGTATGGCCAACAGCTGCATTCTGAAATCTTAACCCATATAATCCTTTATAATTTTTCCCCATTTATAGAGCCACTCAAAGTAGTTATGGACATATTTCCTGTGGTAAAATCATGACATATTTCCTGATTGAACTTTCATTGTTTTGGAAATTATATCTGTATTATGGATGCTTATTAAAGAACAGGTGTTTAAAGTACAGTTTTGAGATATCTATTAAGAAGTCACTCACTTTAGATGAATCATAAACTTTGCCCGTACACTGTTAATATGCCACCCGTTAATACAGTCAAATTTTCATGGTGCGTTGGTGACCGTATTAGTGGGGTTACACTGTATTTTGCTAAATTTAATTCTGATACTGAGAACCTGATTATGCAGTTCAGGAAACTTGCCTTGACTTGAACTTAATTCTGTCAGTGGATAATATTAAAGGAGAATGTATAGCAGTGAGATCAAGGAGATTATTGTAGAAAAATGCAGCCAGCCTTGAGCACCCAGACATGATCAATTTCAGTTTTTTTCTTACTCTGTTATTGTCATCAGTCGGCAGTGATTTATTCTGTGTAGGTAGGCTTATTATAGCTTATCCAAGCTTGCCATGCCTCAGGTAGAAAGGCAAGAGTTTCCTATGGGTTGTTCAAACAAAAGCCTGGCTACACAGGAATGTCATTGTCATCATTGTTTTGCACAGTTTCAAAGGAGGCCTTAGTTAACGTACTGAGCAGATGATGTCGATCATTGATCACATTATTATTAAAGTTAATAAAAGTGTTTCAAATGGGATGTTTTGTGATTGTGTTTCGCCATAGCTTTTTTGTTTGATTGCTTCTGCAGTATGCAATAATTACAGGTTAATGCACTCTGTGAGTGACTTACTGGGATTTACCTGCACAAGTTCACTAACAATGAACAAGAAACTTCAATACTGCACAAGGCTTTGCTGAGTGTGGTATTGAAAATTTTGAGTTCATTGTTAGTGAACGAATACAGGTAAATCCTGATAATTCACGAGCAATGAGTGCGTTAACATTTTTATTATTCAAATACACTGCACAAAGAAACACTGCATGGAAACCACTATATTTGAGTCAGCCAAAGCCATGGTGTAATGACAGTGGTGTGTTGAAGTTACACCATGGCTATTACACCACGATAATGTCGTCAAGGTGGTTGTCTCATCACAGCCAGTATCACATGGTACAAATCAGCCAATCAGAAATTGGAATTCATACAGTACATGAAAGTTGAATAATAAAACACGCTCATTCCCAGTATAAACAACATGATTGTGCAATTTGATGATTTGAATGGCAAGGCTTTCCATCCAGCACAACCCTTCCATGCAGAAAACTTTCAAATTATCTGCCTTGATGATACATATTTAAGACATCAGTGGCTTTGTAAAACATTGGCAGTCTTAGCAATTTATTTTATCACACTCCTTCTGCACAACTGTCTTTATGACTGATAGTTGTCTGCACACAGAGGGCTTGATAACACTGACAACACTTGTCCACTTTCAGAAAGTGGAGTCAAGTGTTACCAGACCATAATATAACAGATGCAAAACTTGGTCGGTGGGGACGATAGAAAAACAGGTGGGTGAAAGAAATTTGAGTGGGGAGAGATCAAGTCCCTTCTCTTTTTTCCCCCCAGACCCTGCCCAGTTTTTTTTTTTTTTTTTTTTTTTTTTTTTT